AAGGTCAACAAAAAGAGGAAGACCCTGAATGAAATGGATTGACACAGTGGCTGCAAGATGGTCTTCACTTAGCAACGATGGTGATTATGGTGCAGGCACACACAGTGTTTTGACCCTGTTGTACATAGGGTTGCTATGAGTTGGAACCAACTGAACGGCACCCAACAAAAACAGCATTGAGTTTGATTGATTTCCTTTAATAAATGAAAATGAAAAATATTTAACCATCCTTGTCTATTCATTTAAGGAGCTCTGATGGTGTAGTGGGTAAGACATTTAGCCGCTAATCAGAAGGTCAGCAGTTCAAACCCACCAGCTGCTCCATACTTTTGTAAAGATTTACTGCCTTGGAGACCATATGGGGGTCTCGGTGAGTCAGAATCAACTTGATGGCAGTGAGTGAGTGGATACTTATTTATTTATTGTCTTTGATGTTCAGTCCTTGTGGGAGTGATATTTCTGTGTATGATATAATGTAGGACAGGATTTTATTTTACACTACAAGACAGTTTGTCAATTTCATTTTTAATTCATGTTTATTTATTTATAAATAGTAACTCCTAATAAACCTCTTGAGTTAATTTTATATGTATTCCAAATGATCTTTACAACAACCAAATCAGGCAGAAAAGGAAGATTCTACCATCTCATTTCATAAATGAGAAAGACAAAAAAGTCCATGGAGGCTTGGTTTCCATATGTTAAATCCAGTTTTGCTTTTACTAAGCATTAAATATAAGAACATGGTGCCGATTGAACTCAGATGTTTAAACAGGACCTTTGGATCCAGTATGGGGGAGAGATTGGCTTGGGAGACGCTGTTAAAAATGTGTCTGTGAAGAAGGTTTTCCTTCATGGAAGCAGGCCATCGCTTCTTTAGCTTTCTGTGTGCTCTGAGAGATCATTGCTTCGTGGTTCTTTGTAGCTAGGGTTTCTATCATATCTGTTTCCAAAATGAAAGAGTCAAAAAATTAGAGTTATGTGTCAGGATGGAGATGTTGCAATTTAAAAAAAAAAAAAGTTTATTTGTACCACACATGACAGTTCACCAACCTCATTCAATGCTATGATCTTTGCAAAACAAGGTTGTGGCACCAATTAACTGCATGTGACGTAGGTGACAGTTCAGTACGTCTGATGCATATTACCTTTTGTGGTGTTTCCTGCCCAGATTTACAAGGTTTAACTGAGG